CTTCTTTTTCTTTTCTTTTTTTTTTTTTTTTTCTTTGGTACGTTGAAACGCTATCTATGATGCGATGCGTTTTCCTGTCTTGATGGCTAGTGCTTCATGCGTGCGACTGAATGTGTCTCTCGATTCTTCTGATAGCCCTGATAGTGTAGTTGCGGATCCTATTTGTGTATTTGATATCTGACTTGAGCTGCATCAATAAGGCGGACTTTTTTCGATGTTAGCTTTGGATTCTGTAATTTCTTGAAAAGACATGGTGTTTTCTGAAGATCTCGGGTCCTTAGAGGGAGCAGATGATCCAACAACATCAGGAAACGGGGTGGGGATCTACACATACAAGCCTGTCGCGGGTCTTGGAGACTTTGTCGTCGCCTCCTCCACAGGCAGCGATGTCTTCAGGACTTGGGTGGATGATATCCAAGGATAGGGTGCGCCAATATTTACGTAATCGTCGAACTGCTAGTCGTTGCTCCCAGACTGTAGCAATATCAGTCCTTGCCCTGGCCTTAAAAATGATGAAATGATTAAGGGATTGAATATTGGGTACTTACGGATGCCGGTCATCATCATCACTACGCTTTTGTAGAGTTCTGCACGTTGTTTTGCGGATTCAAACTTCTGGCGCTGCTTCCCAGCTCGTCCTGCTTCGCGGTAGTTAGCCCTTGCCCTGGCAAAATTTCACCTCTTCGGGATGTATTTGCTCGCTGTCTCGGCTCTGAATGCGCAAGTGTGTGACTTCAGAACTTTGAATCTCGAAATGCTGAAATTACAAGAAGTGAGAGTTGTACTTACGGGCCTGTTCACGAGCCTTTTGACGAGCCCATCGACGAGACTGGTGAGCTTTCCATGCAGGGCGATAATGAAGAAGGGTGGCATCACTAATATCGCCTAGGCAAAAATTGGTATTAGATTTACACGATCAAAAATGGTTCCGGCTTTGTACTTACGGCGGCCGTAGGCATTGGAAAAAGTTTGGAAGCGATCGGTGGCAGAAGGATAACCCTGGTCTTTATCAAGGTGATTCTTGAGGTCAAGTTTGCCAAAGGCAAGTGTGGTCTTGTCGGTGGCGGCACGTTGGCTAAGGCCAAGAGGCGATGGGCAGGAGGGCATTGTGAGAGTGTCAAACAGGACTAAAGAGCTGAAGAATCACTTATATATATGTTGACGGTTGTCTACTAGTATTGCTCTGATAATATGGAAGCTTGTGGATCATTTCAGACACCTAAAGAAGTGAACACTATCTTGAAAGGGAGGAATGTTGGGGAGGGAGAAAGCGGGCCGAGAATTTATAAATCTTTGGAGGAGGCTCAGAATTAGTTCTTACGTCACCCCAGAGGTTTGAAAATAGACTTCTGTAGTTTATAACTAGAACTAGACGGTCGAGTTAGTGGGTTACTATTGACGGAGAGTAGTGGAAGTCTACACGCCGATTCAGGCTATTGACACTACGAAGCAGACTCTCAATGAGCGAAATGTTACTCAACTCCAACCAAAACGGTTGTCAGTCGCGGATCAAATACAGATTACGACTCGAGTACCATTTCGATATGCTTCCATACCTCAGAGTTACTCTACTGCCATGGATGAAGATGCACTATGGATTCTACGAAATCGTTGAAAAGTTGCCATGAGTTTCGCTGTAACTACTGTGTCCCATGCTAACGTATACTCCTGCATTTTACGTTCCTACTAAAACCTCAACCACTACAACTATTACAATCTACGAATACTAATCAGTTGTTGAGAGTGATCGGACGCGCTGACTTCTAAGCTTCTTTTCCGTCCAACTTTGTAGGCTGACCTCCGTTTGCCCACACACGCCAACCCCCAACCGTTACACCCCTCTTGTTCCCTTCATTTTCTACGAATCTATTACTCACGGTGATTAGGCGTTCTGACCTCCAGGCTCCCTCTCCCTCTCCCTCCCTCTCCTTATCCTTTGCAACCTCTTTGGGATTCCAAGAGCGCTCTCCGTCCTCCAGATAATTTCTGAATCCCTAGAACGACTAACACAACGAAACAAATCGACCATGGCCAGCGCCAGGGAGAGTGCCGAGCTAAAGATTTTGATAGACAAGGTCGGGGGAGCACAAGCGACAGTTTAGATTGAAAAAGTGTGAAATAGCAAAACTCCAATAAAGAAATGACAATGAAGCATGACGAAAAACATTAATCACAAGCAGAATTACACGCGGGCGCACTGCCAAATGAAGCTTCGCCAACTCTAGATCAAAGCAACTTAACAATCTGGCGCCGATATCCCTTCAGCCTTGAGTAGATGATTCACAGATTCGAACGATAGAGGTCACGGAAAAAGAAAATATAAAGAGGATTGATCTAGGAAATTTGATCATTAAACGAGACAGAAAGGGTTTAGTTTCAAGGGTAGTGCCGCACGCGCCTTCACCGTCTCGTAATATAAAAAGTATATAAAAATGGTCATCTAACCAATAGCTCTTTGTCCATCTTGCAACTGTCCATATCCTCTAGAGATTCTTGCTGCCTTGCCTCAGTATTCTTTATGCATTAACGAGACAGCTGTTTTGGGTCAATGTTCTGTATAGGGTGGTGCTGCAGACTGTTTCTCTGGATACCTAGACATCCTATATCACCCGAATCCGGATTCCGTTGTTGCGCAAAGCGAATAAATAAAAATGACTTCTCCGGATTTCAATTTTCAAGGCTCGACTGGGAAGCCCAAAGAGTATCAATTTAACGCGAGATTAGAGACATCTTCAGGAAACGGCGTGTCTCAACGTCAATTTCGTGTCCCTTCACTGCGGCATAAGGCTATCACCTCTGTTGTCCCGGTAAATAAACAACAAAGAGTTCTCAAGGCCTCTCTCTTAGAGCCTACGACAGGCTCACTTTCTGTCGACATGTCTAGCTTAAGTGCAACCTCCCCCTTCTTTCTCACCCCAATATCTTCCCCTACACCATCACTGCCCTCAACAACTTCAACGACTTCAACGACTTCTTCGCCTTCTCCTGAAGCAACACCCAAAAAACAATTTTCTTTCGCAGACATCCCGTTCAGGCAGAAAATGACCGAGGACGACCAGACTCGTGGGCTCGCTGCCCGACTTGCTCTCTTACAGCCCGCGACTGGCTTGCAAGAAGCAAAAAAGGAGTAAGGACAACCAGGCAATAGCCATTTTCCCTCTTTCTAGTGTCTCAGAAGCATTAGCACCCAAAAATCCTCGAGACACTCCTACGCGAGTGCCTGCTAACTTTCCGATCATGCAGGCTCGTGAGCACCCCAATTTTCACAAGGTCGGTCCTCGACTACTCCGCGGAATCCTTTAGTCAATATGGCTTCTTGGCCGGTAACTCAAGCGTCCTCGATTGCCTTTCTGCTGCTGGACACGATCCCGCTACAATGACGCCGGCTCAGGATCCTAGCGTATTTTTCAACATCTCAGCACCTTCCAGCGCTTTCATCTGTGGATCTCAAGGATCTGGAAAGAGCCATACGCTTTCGGTGTTGCTCGAGAGCTGCCTGTTAAAGCTTAAGGACGTCAACAAGCTCGACAATCCTCTAGCAGCACTCGTATTCCACTACGACTCGTTCATCTCTGATCTGAGAGGAACCCCGTGCGAGGCTGCGCACCTCTCTTCAAACCCGAATATCAAAGTACGGGTCCTTTGCTCGCCTTCTAACATTCAAACCATTAAAGTATGTATTCATTCTCTCTCGCACATGCTTCCCTAAAAACAACACCAGAAGAATGGGGATACTTTCTACTGATGCTGCTACACCCAATCCACCTCTGCCTTCTACACTTCCAAAGCTCCGTACCGGTCTGAAAATTTTGCTGATCAAAGAGTAGCGCACCTATATGGGAATGAACGTCGAGATTGAGCCTCTGAAAATCAATCAAAACGATCTCAATACTAAGCGCATGCTGGATCTTATGGCGGTCAACCAGGACGACGGACGCATGCCATTGTATTTGCATGAGATTACACGTATATTGCGTGAAATGCGAGTTAGACAGCAACAAAACAACGGATCCTTCAACTATGCCGAATTCAAGCAACTGATTGCGCTCTCACCGATGACCCCTGCTCAGCAAGCACCTCTTACCCAGCGTTTGGATTCACTCGAGTCCTTCATGCCTAAGGCTCAGACACAAGTAAATGCTTTGAAGGCTAAGACGTCGAAGGAGTCGGGAAACGACTGGACCATCAAGGTATGCTCCCACAGAATCTGTGTACATTTTCGCATCTGATTTTGTGAAGCCTGGAACCTTGACGATTGTGGACCTATCTTGCCCATGTGTTACATCAGACGGAGCCTGCGCATTATTCAATATGTGCCTCAGCCTCTTCCTCGAACAAAAGACGAATGTAGGGCGTATCGTTGCTTTGGATGAAGCACACAAGGTAGGTGTCCAACGAACAACGGGTAGCATAGCTTTCGATCAGACGACCTCTAACACTTGATAGTATATGAATACCGCATCCGAGGCTACCACGCTTACGAACACCCTGCTATCTTGCATTCGTCTACAACGTCATCTCGGCACCCGTGTTTTTATCTCTACCCAAGAGCCCTCAATCTCCCCGAAGCTCCTGGATCTTTGCTCCATCACCATTGTGCACCGCTTTACATCGCCGGACTGGCTACGCTGCCTTCGGTCACACATTGCTGCGCTGGATAACGACGAAGGTTTGACGAATAATCCGAAGTTGCAGTTAGCCAACATCTTCAACCAGATCGTCAAATTGACTGTCGGACAAGCTCTGCTCTTTGCCCCGAGTGCAGTTATCGACGTCGAACTGCCTGAATCTGGCGAGTCAAAGCGTGGCCTCAACAGACTCGGTATTCAATATCTGCGAATAAAGATTCGCGACCGAGTCACCACTGATGGCGGAAGGAGTGTGATGGCTCTGGGATCCTAGCCATCGCGGTCTGATACTTCACATGCGGTGAATGGCTCTACACTCTTCGGCGTGAGGGGACCAGAGAACCTGGAAGAGAATATCCCGTTCGGAAAGCCAGCTACTGATCATGCGAGAGTTGGGCACACTGGGATGCCACTCTCGGAAATTCGGGTGAATATCGTCTCCGACCTTGTAAAGATGGCTGCTAGTGCTCCTGGTTCTGACAGAGCCTCTTTGATTGGACTTTTCTCCGTCCCGGGTGCAAACTGCGGCATCCCGCTCTCCCTCGAAGCGGAACTCAACTCTGCTACAGAGACGACGAAATTTTTTTCGGAATACCTGCTTCACACGCCCTTCTACCAACTTCTCCCTCGCAGAGTTATGACTTGGCGATTATGCCTGTGCCGCGGCGTTCCTTTTTGATTTTTTTTCCCCGGGGGTGCATGTTTCCCTAGCGCTCCTTCTGTCGAGACGGTACATTGATTTTGGAGTTTGCAGAAGCGGATTGGAACCTTTGAATCAAGGGCAAGGAAAAGAATATGGGATCCTGTGTACCGATAGAGGAGAGGAGCTCGCAGCTCTGTTGGAGATGTACATACCCTAGAATTTCAATTTCCCAGAACATGTTTCCCGTACTCACCGAGCCGTTTCCCTGGACCTCAAAATTCAAGCCTGTGATACTTTCCACCCCACTGAATCTTCCAAATCTCTCTCTCTCTCTCACACACACACCCCCCGTTTCACAAATCATCTCACTTCTCTCTCTCATTCATGAAAATAGACAGAGTGGAAGGAGTTGAAAGATTCAATATTCGCATAACCCGTGCCGTGCTAAAGAAGGCTATTGAAACCACGCTCGGCTTGACCTTTGCAGAACGGAACGGAATATTCAACTGCTCTTACATATGCTCATAGATCCTCATCGGGCTCGCCAACGCATCTCAAGGGCTCCATCGCCCTTGCACACGACTCACCACTGCCCGGGGTCAGCATCAGCAAACTTAGTGCCCGCGGCAATCTCATCGAACCACACCTGTCGAAACGGCTGTGAGCCCTTCATGCCCCCGTCATCATCAAACCAGCCATTAGCATACAAGCCGACGCGGAACTGGAAGTACCTCGGATCGGAGACGGTGGTCGCGATGCCCGTCTGGTTCAGGACGCTCCGGCCATCGAACCAGATCTTGTAGTAGCCCGAGGCATCGTCCGCCCAGCGCGCCTGGATCACGACCTTGTGCCACGCGCCCCGGCTGACGGTGGCCAGGTCCGCGAAGGGCACCGTGTGCTGCTGGCGGACGGGGCACACGTCGCCCGTCTTGACGCGGGACTGGAGCTGGTCGCCGACGAGCCAGAGCATGCTGGACGGCATGTACGTCTCGGCGCAGGCCGGCAGGTCGCTGAAGTCGGCGATGAACTGCGCGAGGTTGTAGCTCTGCGCCGGCGCGAACTGCCACTCGGACGACAGGCGGAAGGCGAAGCCGTAGAAGCCCGTGTCGCCTTTGCGGTAGACGTTGTGCTTGTGGACCTCGGCGTGGTAGCGCCCGCCGTAGCCGGTGTAGGTCTGCGTCATCTTGAGGGCGGTCGGCGATTCGTAGAAGACGTTGTCGACTTGGGCGACGCTTCCTTGAGAGCCGCTGTCGATGAAGATGGCGTCCCAGTCGTCGTTGATGGTACCTTTGTTGGCGAAGAGCTGGGTAGGAGTCAGAGCGTCAACCCAGCCGGAGGCCAGGAGGACGGAAGCGGCGATGGTCTTGAGGAGCATCTCGAGGCGTGGTGTCAGGTCCTTCCTTGACTCGAAGGCACAGTTGTAGTTGATGTATCAAAAACCTTGATCCCTCACAAGATTGGGAAGCCTTTAAGTAATGTCTATCGATGTACAAATTGCCTGGAAACGTAAGCCACTGGATTTCCGGCTCTGAGCACCGTCTGATCATTTACATCCCCCGGGGGTGATAGATCTCTACCCGATACGAGCTGCACCACCCCTCTTCGAATACGCCAACTTGCTGGATGCACTGCTTACTCCATTTCGAAGTTGTACAAGCTAGGTAGCCGCCACGGAGGGGACGGGGAAAGCTGGTGATTGGCTATCCTATACATCTGACATGAGTTCCAAGTAGCCATGCTGCCATTTCCAGCCAGGAGCTTCAATAATCAATATCTCTAGCATCAGCAAGTTGGTGAATTAGCTGTTGTACAACGAGGCCACCATTTTGACCTTAGTCACTCATCCCGTCTCCCTCCCCCCAAACGCTAAGCGAGGAGTAAGCAACGCATCATCTGACGACTACAGAGCTCTCAGTAAGGCACGCACGCCATGCAATAAACCAGACAAAAGCCTCCCTGGCCCATACAGCATAATCAATCAACAGGAAGCAAGGATAGATTCGAAAGTCGACCCTTTCTTTCCTTGGACTTGGACCCCAACTGCCTCGGCGCTGCAGCCCGCATGCATACTCTCTTCTCGATGGGGCTATAGCGATACAAATAATCAAATACTCAAATACTCAACTCAATAAGCGAGATATCCCAGGCGTCAAGCCAATTTCTTGGGAAGGAAACATCCAAGGAAGGAAAAGGAAAAGGAAAAGGAGTAGAGACTGTTGTCTCTTAGAGCGGTTTTCTGTCATCGATTCAACTTATGATCTACAGAAAATCGCAATAATCAAAAGGGAGGAAAAGGTTTCCTACTTCGTAATTTAATATATCTCTTCAGTTTGTCTCGCACCCGGCGAGAACTGCTCGGTGCATACGGAGCGCGGCAACAAGTGTCGTTACCGCCACTTCACCTTATTGTACTGAGTAGCCCAGCCAACTTCAACATTATTACGTATCGTACCAAAAGATCTCGACGGGTCAGATCCCGAGGCTATCACTCCCGGACCGGCTTATACGTCGCCAGCGCAACGTCGATTAGAATCTTCCCCTTGGCTCTGCCAGACTTCAGCTTGGTGACCGCCTCCGCGCCCTCCTCAAACGAGAACGTGTGATCGATAGTCACCTTGACCGTGCCCTCCTTCACCCACGTCGCAACCTTCTGCAAATCCTCGGGCTTAGGCTCCGGCCAGAATCCATCCACCTTTCCCTTCAACCCACCCAGGAAGCGAGGCAGAAGTGCTCGCTTAGCCATGTCAACCACACTGGGGACCGATATTTCTCCTGCAACCAAGACGTACGAGGCGCCAGGCTTCATGTACTCGTGACATTTCCACCACAGCGCCTTATCCTCAATATGTCCCACATTGTCAACCGCATGATCGAACTTCTCGCTCGCCAGCAGAGCATCGAGCACACTGCCCTTCTTGTAATCAAGGACCTCGTCCGCGCCCAAGCTCTTGCAGAGCTCCACATTGGTCGTCGAGCAGGACGTCGTCACATGACACCCGATCGCCTTTGCAAACTGGATGCCGAAGGTGCCCGTCCCGCCCGATCCGCCATTGATGAAGATCCGATCGCCTTCTCTGACGCGGGGAACGATGGATTGGTAGGCTGTCAGAGCCGCCACCCCCAGCGTCGCCGCGTCCAAGGTGCCCACGCCCTCGGGGACGAGGATGGCGCGCTTGTCCTCGACAAGAGCGTACTCGGCCATGGCTCCACCCGCCAGCGGCGACGTCCCAGCTACGCCGAACACGAGCTGGCCGGCTCGGAGAGGAGAGCCGGAGGCAGGGACGACGATGGTGCCGACGTAATCCAGTCCTGGAGTCGCAGGGTAGGAGACGAGCACACGGCCGACGAGCGGAATCTCAGCCGGCTTGTAGTCTACGGGGTTGAGGGCCGTGGCGAGAATCTGAACGAGATGCTGATTGGGTTTGGGTGTGGGGATGCGCGCCGACGGATTGAGCTTGAGGTTTTGATCGAGCCCGCCATTCTTGGTGCTGCTGTATTGCCCTAGCCATGTACGGTCAGCATTTGATTTTTTACATGCGATGGCATGAAGACCACAGACTAGGTCCCCCGGGATGAGGATCACGGCTTGGATATCTTACATGCTCGCATAGTCATGGCTAGAGGATGATCGCTCGCCATGATGCCCAGGGGTGGCGAAACGTGCTTGTTTTTGCTGCTGCTTAAAGATACCGCCGCTCCCGTATTACCACGACACGGTTATATGTTAACCTTATGCTGGCTCTGGATTCGGCTCTAAGCAACCTCCAACGAAAGGAGACCTTGGTCGAGGTAGTGTGCACTGCAGCTGTCTCACGAAGCGGAAGCGGCGAGCCTCGTCTCGGGAAGTGGCTTAGCGTGGCCGCACGGAGCATGTTTGGTTGGGGTAAGCAAATGGGGGTTTAGCGAGTGCGAGCCTTGTAAACAGTAGTCGAGGCGTTCTATTCGGGACCTGTGAAATGTCAAGGGTCGGGAGAGTGTCGATATGGGTTACGAATAGTTGATAACATTATCTATTATGTATATCGAATAAGCGATATCAACTATTATACTAGGTTTGCTCAATTACAAGAGTGCCGTGAGAATTGATTTCGAAGTGAGTACGTCGTCGTGATGAATGGAGGCCCGCCTAAGCGAGCCGACGATCATTTAAGGAAATAGATCATTATGCTTGCTCTAGGACTAGCCGCTACATATTTTCTGCAAGTGTCTTGTTATCATCAGATAGCCAGAGCAGTTAAATGCTAGTCGAGGATCCGAGGTGACAGCGACCTCGGGAGTCTGATCCCACCGGCTGGCTGGCTTGCTTGCTTCTCTAGACTTTTGAAGATCAACTAAACCTACGATATTAGGGCTTCTACAAAGTCTACAAATATCCAGGGACTCCTGCAGTATATTTGAGGCTCTGAGCATCGTAAATTGAGTTGCTGGGGACCTGAGGTGACGTTGAGTTGAAGCTGTTGATGCTCAGCTGAAACAGGAAGCTGAGCTCAGTGAGCACGCCTGCATGCCGGCGGCCGGCAGATTTCCAACAAGCCAAGCGAGATTGAGCTGCATGTTCCCACTCCATAGCATAGAGGTCCTTCTCCCCCCAAGAGACCGGAAACCATTCTTCCAAGGGTTCCGAAGCGATGGACAATATGTTCTTGAGCGGAAGCTCAAGAAAGGAGGTCCACGCGAGATTGTTTCCCGAGGCCAGTTGCACGGGGGGCGCGGACGGCCTTTCCGTGTCGGATACTCTGCTTCCAACTGGAGGATACCTAGACTACTCCCTAATCGCGTGGTCTAGTGATCTGGGCCATCAGTTCCCCGTTCCCTCGTGCAACCTTGCATCCGTAGTGTATAGGGGTAGGTAACACGACGTGTGTGTGGCCCTGCCATTAGCCACGTAGATAGGAGGTAACTATTTCCTATCCATTCTTCATGTTTGCCCATCCTGCTTGCAGGCATATATAGCTTCTGAGTCTTTGGTCTTGGTAGGGTCTGAATCCTTTTACCTGATATCGACGGTCTCAGCACAATGGCCGTTCTTCTTTATATAATTGGCATTTCAACTGCATTTCTATGTGTTCCCCTTTTCCAGATCAGCCAAAGTTATTATCAAGCTCGGCGGATCGGCTTCCCTGTTGTCATCAGCCCAATTGACCTGTCTAGTCGGGTGGTAAGGCTTGCTGGGGACCGTATCCTGCCCATAATCAAATGGCTTCCATTCAACCTGGGACATTTCGTTGGATTTGGACATTTCTTCGAGGATCGATATCGGGCACACCAACGGCTGGGTCCAGTATTCAGTATTGTCAGTCCTGGACGGATAACGTGAGCTTGCTCTGCACTATCCGACGTCTCCACAGCAAAAGCAACTCGGCTAATGCTGAGAAACATCAGGTTGGTAGTTGCGGATCCCAAAGTCGCCAATGATATTCTTGTTCGCCGGAAAGACTTCGTTGTAGGTGCTCGAGGAGGTCTTTCTTCTCAGAAATTCCCCAGATCTCCTGGGATTGCTCTCCACAGACTGCCTACTGACCCTCCAGCCCAGAAATCCAAATCGGTTTTCAAAACTCTTGAAATCTTTGGCCCAAATGTCGACACTTTGAACGGGGAAGCCTGGCAGCGACACCGACGCCTCACTACCCCTCCCTTCAACGAACGCAACTCCAATCTAGTCTGGCGCGCATCCATCTTCCAAGCGTCGGGTATGCTGCAATCCTGGCTCTCTGCCGGTGGTTCAGGGGTGACCAAGACCCCCAGCGATGTCATGACTTTAGCCTTGCACGTATTGACAGCTGCCGTGTTCGGAAAGACGCACGAATACGAAGGCGGCTTGACCAAGCTGAGTGACAATCACACAACCTCGTACAAGGATTCTCTCCGGATAATTCTCAGCAATATCTTTTTGTCGTATATTGTAAAAGCAAACCTTGCTCCAACCTACATGCCTAAGAGCATGGTAGAGGAGGTGGGGAATGCGTTGGAGGAGTTCCAGCAGTATATGGAAGAGATGGTTGAAGAAGAGAAGACGAAAACCACTGATAGCACCAAAGATACCAGGACTCTGATTAGTGCTCTGGTTCGCGCGTCCGAGTCGGAAAAGCAAGGTGGAGGGCGAACAGGTTTGACGGATAAAGAGAGTAAGAACAATCGGGCAGCAGCCCCCCCTCTCCCCTTCCACAGATGATTCTATTCCCGAACTACTTGTGAGATACCTGGAACGAATGACTGTTGACTATCTCGTCATCTAGTGTATGGAAATTTGTTCATATACAATCTTGCGGGCCATGATACGACGGCGAATACGATTGCGTATGCCATCTATTTGATGGCGTCGGATGAGCGCTGGCAAGCGTGGATAAGAGAAGAGCTGGATTCTGTATTCGGAGACAGGGATAACGTGAGCGAAGATGATTACGAGCGGGCGTTTCCTCAGCTGAAAAGATGCCTTGCGCTTATGGTGAGTCTTGCCATCCATCCACTGGCAGTGGCCAAGCTAAGGCAGATCAGTACGAGACGCTTCGGCTATACGGCCCCGTAGTCATGATTCCGAAGCATATTGAAAAGCCCACAAAGCTCGTGTTCAACGGAACTGAGCATCTCATCCCTCAAGAGACAACTGTCATTGTCAATGTCACAGCGCTTTGTACGTCCCCTGAGTACTGGGGGCCCGATACCATGACGTGGAGGCCAGATCGCTGGATCACAAGCAGCGGCCAGAATGCGGATCTTCAGACTGAAGAGATCAAGCAGCCAGCATCAAAAAAAGCCTTTGTACCATGGGCCACCGGACCAAGAGTTTGTCCCGGCAAGAAATTCTCTCAGGTTGAGTTTGTGGCTGTCATTGCTCTGTTGTTCCGGAAACATCGTGTAGCACCGGAGATGAAAGAGGGAGAGTCGAAGGAAGATGTGAAGAGGAAGGTTTTAGATACGGTGGAGGACTCGCGATTGGTGATGACGTTGCGGATGAACAATCCTGAGAGAGTAAAGCTCATCTGGGAGGCAATTTGAAGGTGGCAGTTTTTCTAGAGAGGTAGCCTGAGTTGGAGAACTACGAAGTATGGTTGGAGAGGAGACAAAAAAAGATGTAACTTTGTCTCGTCGTCCAATGCACTTCCAGTAGCGTCTCGCTTGGGCTCCGGAAGAAGGCTCCGGCCACACAACACAAACAGGCAAAAGATTAAAATGAAGTGAATGGTGCTGTCCTCTGTGAGAGTCGAACTCACGACCTTCGGATGTCTCTGTTGCGTTTCCCACACAGATCACAAGAACGAATCTTATGAGACCGACGCTTTAACCAACTAAGCCAAGAAGACTGAGACTTGATGTGTCGGCAAACTGTGTATCGTTTATTAATGCACAAACTACAATTTAGCCCTGCCCACTTCACTGTTGGCTAGGTGCCCCACTTGACACCTAGAGGACAGATCCGACGACTCCATAAAGGCTGCTTCCCATTCGACCCTTAGAGGGGAAACAATAAGTATCTAAAAGGTAGATATTTATATAGAACGGTAGAATAATATATAATGAATCGCTAGAGTCGCCACCTCACAAACAAAGGCAGAGAGTCATGATCGCTCGTATTGCGAAACCAACACAGCATTAAGGATAGTTCATATACGATCGGTCTGCTCAATCACGTCCGCATTCAAAAGAAGATACCCCGGACTTTGTGTGAGTGCTATGCTGTGCTGTGCTGTGCTGTGAACGACATTAGGTAGCTATGATACGATGGATAGGCATATACACGTACGGGGAGGATCCCAACGGTACTGTAGGCTGGTAGAGTTTAATAATTATACCTTTATACTTGAGAGAATGAGTAAAGAGAATTATTTAATCCTTTGGAACGGACAGATATCTTCTGGTATTCCCTCTTGAAGATAGTTCAAGCGATAGATGTATGTATGTACTTGCAATACCGTCTGTCTCGGAATCGTTCCCGCCACCCCTTCTCTCTCTCTTTTCCTTTCGATACCCATCGGCTCCACGAAGAGGGAGGAGATCTTGGGCAGAGAGAGGTGACAGAACGAAGTTATGTCTCGCGCCAAGGCTCGGCTTCATCGTCTGTTCAAGGACCAGATGGCTCCAAAATAATAATTAAATCACTGCCCCTTTCTTTTCCCTCCGCCGCTTAGTCTTCGCTACAGGGAGCCATGGCATCACCTATACGATGCGATACACGAAAATGAGCATTAATCCGATCAGATTCTGTTTTGTTGCGCCGCGGTATGATCGGAAAAATAGAGGTGGTGAATGGATCGAGGCCGGCCTGCCCGACCGATCAGATCTACGTCGTACAGGATACCCGTATATATATATAGTAGTACATATATACTGTCAAGGCATTCCCCGCCGGATGGCTCGGATCAACATCATATTTATCATTGACAAACTCGACTCACTCATCACATCTTCGTGGTACGGAGGTGACATCATGCGCGCATTTACAGTTCAGGACTGACACGGGAAAAGAGCGTCGAAGCCACGATCATCCCAAACCTGCAGGCTATACTGTCCGTCCGTCAATGACCGTCAATCAGTCTGATGTCCTCCCCTGACATCAGAGAAGAGGAATGCAAATAACACAAACACAAGTAACATCCATGCGTACCAACCCAGCAAATTGTAGAGCTACGGTACTCTATAGAAGGGCCGCTCGGCTTTAGCTTCTGCTTATGCAACCATAGCGTATCTGGTCTAAAAGCTTCACCGACGGCGCGGACAGGCTCTGGGACTGGGTTGGGCGGGAAGTGAAACTTGGCCGCTACTACGTAAGTAACGTACGAAGTACTTCGTACTCTTCTGATTATACACGCATCTCCTGCAAACTTACAGTATCTACTACGTACCACACTTCACGCAGTAATAAAAGTAAGAAGCGCGTCTCGCATAAGCCTCGAAGCCAGACGGCGCTGCCTCCCAGAGCTCCTTGCTGAGAAGTTACGTGGAAGGACTGTAGTACCGGTAGTAGTAGGGTACGACTAGGTATTTGTTGTTAAATCGCTCTCTCGGCGCGTGCTCTTGCATCGACTCCGAGGGGAGGGCAGGATTGCAGTTGGATTTGCCGTGTCGAGACAGACTTCAGCGTCCTGGGTTCCAGTCCCACTTTAGCCCAAACGGGGTTTCATCCTTCGACATCCACATCCACGGCCACTCCATCCATATCAACCTAAATTTGTTCTCCATCGTGGCGCAGACCGGCTACGGATACGGTATGCCATCGCGGGCGAGGCGGATGTGATTGGCGGGCGGGGGGAGGGGGGAGGGGGGATCCTGACTTCGTCGGTATATGCAGAGGGCGAGGAGGAGGAGGAGGAGGAGGAGGAGGAGGTGGTGGTGGTGGTGGTGGAGGCGTTGAGTCGTTGGATAGCGAGCCGCGAGGATAGCGGTTTGGGTTTGTGTGTTTTCGATATACTCTTGATATGGCCGAGGTGGATGGTTGATGGATGGATAGATGGACGAATTAAGGGATAAATGAATGGCTGACATGACGAGACCAAGGCCTTGGCGAGGGGCATGGCACCAGCCAGGAAAGGAGCAAAAGAGCAGCGCCGGCGATCCAAACTCAGTGCCATATGCAAATAGAGTGATCTCTGACGCCGATTGCTCTACAAGTGTCAGAATATCTCGGTCTTCAGAATACTACCGTAGTAGTACATCTGCATCCACCTCGCACCTCGCACCTCGCATCTACATCAACAACTCTACTGACAGCAACACCAACACCAGCACCAACACCAGCTGCCGTCCTCCGCTCCTTCCGTCTGCAGAGTCCAGAGTCCAGACTTGACTCTAGGATTGATCACGAATCCACCGGACCCAAGCCCACGAAGCCCACGAAGCCCACGCCTTGTCTCGGCTCGTCCTAACTCTCCACCCTCCTCTTCAATACTGCAACCCAGCCCGGCCCAGCCCAACCCAACCCAACCCAAACTCATCCCCATCCCCAATCCCAATTCCATTCCCAATCCCCCAAAACAACACTACCAGGATCTCACCTCCCATCTCGCTCGCTCACGACCCGAAGCATCAGGTCTCGCTGTCTTTGATCCGCCTCTTCCTCACGGCTCATTCCGACCATCTCTTCCATCTCTTCCGTACAGTGTGAATAGCCCCCCCCACTCCTCCCAAACAAACTGGCCTGCTTGCTCTTCTCGCCATCCACCAACACCACCAACCCCGCATCATCATCCTTACGGCTGTACATCCCGCGTCCACCTCGACGACCTTCGATATAGAGGCTTGCCCCCGATTCGGTACATACATTCGTCAAGATGAACATCAACAAGAAGTTCGACCGACTGAAGCAATGGACGGGGGAGAAGATGGGCCAGGAATCCAAGACCAACGTGTCTGAGGAGTTCAAGGCACTGGAGATGGAGATGTCACTCCGCCATGAGGGTAGGTTCCGTCAACCGCCACTGTAGAAGCACATACTGATTTGCCCAGGGATGGACAAACTACAAAAGTCCATGACCGCCTACGTCAAGTCCCTCTCGAGACGCACCGACGTGGAGGATAAGGAGAAGTCTTTGCCAGTGTCCTACCTGGCCCAAACGATGATACACCATGGCGAGGATTTCGAGCCAGATTCCGACTTTGGCAACTGCCTGATCAGTGGGTATATCTGGCTGGCTTGACAAGAACTCCACTGACCGGCATACAGGCATGGGCCGGACAAATGAGAGAATTGCCCGGATCCAGGAGGCCTACGTCGTAAATGTCACTGGAGGCTGGTTGGAGTCGGTCGAGAGAACGTTGATCATGATGAAGGAATACCAGGTATGGATCTGCGGCTGCCGTTCCCCATCATCCACACTGGCTAACTGGTGCAGGTTGCCCGGAAGAAGCTCGAACAACGTCGACTCGCATACGACGCGTCCATCTCCAAGATGCAAAAGGCCAAGAAAGACGACTTCAGAGTCGAGGAGGAAGTTCGCGCACAGAAGGTCAAGTACGAGGAGTCCAATGAAGATGTTTTCAGACGCATGCAGGATATCAAGGAGTCTGAGGCCGAGAGTGTTACTGATCTCGGAGCATTCGTGGAATCACAACTCGACTACTATGATAAGTGCCGTGAGGAGCTGCTCCGCCTGAAGAGAGACTGGCCCGCTGGGTATGTTGTGCACTCCTTTCTAAACGTCAAGTCACTTACACTGCCTAGGGATACCTCCCCTCGCGACTCAAGACGTAACAACCCGCGATCCCGCTCCAACACGCTGAATACGGCCCATGCATATAGCGAGAGATACCAAGAGGACGTACCCCCAGTGCCAGAGATCAGACCGTCCATCAAATCTCAAGGACGCGTTGCGTCTTCGGCTCGTCTCGAGCCCCGTAGCGATCACCGCGACGACTACCCCCAATCCGAATCTCCTTCGGTGCAAAGCTTTGGTCGATCCCCCACATTTCAAGGTCCTAACAGCATAGCCCGCGAAAGGTCCCCCCATTCAGCCTACCGCCAGCAAACAGTTCCTCAAGACCCGGCTTCCCTCCGCGCAAACCTCCGGACAACCAGCCGAGCCAACACGCGTGGCCAAGATGTCTTTGGTGACCCTTCCGATGACTCCACCTTGAACAGTGCCAGCCCAGACCGGTCCTACAGTGCTAGATCTGTCAGCCCGGCGACTTCCAACGGAAGCTTGGGGGGAAGCAGGAATGCCAGTTACTCGACCGTCCACAGCGCTCCGAACCGAAACAAAGGACCGCCTCCACCACCTCCTAGCAGAGCAAAGAAGCCTCCGCCACCACCGCCCATCAAGCGAGCTGAGACCAGTCTGCATGGTCGATACTGAGCCAGGATCGAATCCTTCGAACATTTCCTTTCGTCAATCTCAGTTGCACGAGTGCACATATGCAAAAACCCCAAACCCTGGCGCAGCCTCCTACATAGATTTCCCTTTTCTTTTCCACCAAAAGCGCTGGGGGGTGATATTGGTCGCTACTTTAATGCACATACTGCGTTTGGCTTCTTCGATGAAGCGTGTACAATGACAGAACGGATAGCGATACCCACCTCGGCTTCTTTAGCCAGATGCTGTCTTGTTTTTCTTGGGTTGTCTCCGTCTGCTTCGGCTGCGGATGTCAGGATTTCAAAATTGGTATCGTTTCGTCTATTTTGGCAAGCAGCATCTTTTGGCGTTTCTTGTTGTTGATTGAAGGATTCTGCCTTTGGTGGCTGCTACACTGCATGTCATGGCACTGCATGTCACGGTATGGGGAGGGGAAGCGACGAGACTTGGGCGGCGGGTGGCTTGCTTTGGGAGGAGGATGAGTGGACGGCCGGGGTATGCGAGAGCCAGGCCCATGTGGTTGGTTTATGGCGTTGGTACTAGCCTAATGCAAACGTATCTCTTCCCTCGCTCGCTTCTCGGCTTTGCGTGCACGCTATGTATGTGTGATGTTCACTGTGTATGTGTAGAGGCTGGATGGCAAGTGTGTGTGGATTAGGACTATGACTAGGACCTAGGGAGTGGGGAGTAAGTAGAAAGGTGTAAAATAACTCGCTAGCTAACTAGATGGATGGATGGATGGATGGATGGGGGGTTAGGTTTGTGTCGAGAGCGAGAGGGGGAAAGGAAGTATGGGGGGGGGGGGGGGTTTGGGAGGTTTGGAAGGGAGTGGTGGTTCGAACGGTTTTCGATAAATTTTGTTGTCAA